TCAGCTCTGGTGTTCATTGCTCCCTATCACATGGCACTGACGGAGATGAAGGAACTTAAGACTCAAATTCAAGAACTCCTAGAGTGAGGGTTCATCCATCCAAGTGTGTCACCGTGGGAGCGTTGGTGTTATTTGTAAAAAAAAGATGAAACAATGAGGTTGTGCATTAACTATTTCCAATTAATTAAGCTAACCGTGAAGAATTGATATATGCTTTTGAGGATTGACGATTTGCTCAACTAGCTCTGAGGAGCTTGAGTGTTCTCCAAGATTGATTTGAGGTCAAGATATTTTCAACTAAAAGTTAATGAGGTCGACATAACAAAAACTGTGTTTATAACCCGGTATGGTCACTACGAGTTTTTAGTGATGCCTTTTGGTCTCACCAATGCCCTGGCAGTGTTCATGGATTTGATGAATAGGATATTCCATCAATATTTAGACCAGTTTGTAATGGTGTTCATCGACAAATACTCGCATTCAGAGGAAGAGCATGATTACCACCTCTGTATCGTTCTACAGACTTTAAAGAGATCCAACCATATGCCAAGTTCAGTAAGTGTGAATTCTGGCTGGCAGAGGTGTCCTTCTTGGGTCATGTGGTGGCCGCTTAGGGTATTTGGGTAGACCCGCAAAATATTTGAGTCGTAGCTTTCTAGGACTTGTTGGTTACTAACGACGGTTTGTAGAGGGGTTCTACATAATTTCCACCCCGATGAAAAAGTTTCTACAAAAAAGAGTACCGTTTGTTTAGGTTAATAAGTGCCAACAGAGCTTCGAAAGGTTAAAAGAGATTTTTGAGTCAAGCACCAGTGTTGACCCAACCAGAATCGGGTAAGAATTGCACTAAGTTTAGTGATGCTTCATTAAACGAGTTAGGGTGTGGTGGATGCAAGAGGGCAAGGTAGTTGTGTATATCTCCCGACAACTCAAACTGCATGAGCGCAACTACCCTACGCATGATTTGGAATTAGTCGTTGTGGTCTTTTCCCTGAAAATTTGAAGGTACTATCTATTCGGAGAGAAGTTCTATATTTTCACCGACCATGAGAGTTTGAAGTACCTACTCTCCTAAAAAGAGCTAAACCCGAGGTAGCGACGTTGGATAGAGTTGCTCAAAGATTATGATTATGTGATTGACTACCTTCTATGTAAAGTGAATGTAGTAGCAGATGCTCTGATAAGGAAGACAATAACCGTTCTTCAAGCTAAGCTTGCACGTCTAATTTTAACCGCTGATACAGGACTAATGGTGGAGTTGCTAGAGCTCGGTTAGTTAGAGAATTCAAGGAACTTTAGAGGAATAACACCTGGTTGATGAAAAAGGTTGAGCATACTCATCAAGGTGAAGCTCTAGGTTTTAAATTAAAGGATAATGACATGTTATATTATTAGGGACTATTGTATGTTTTGTCAGTTAGTGAATTACGAGCCAAAATTCTTAGAGAGCCAAAATTCTTAGAGAGCCACACTGTAATCCGTTTTCAGTCTACCCTGGAAGAAACAATATGTACCAAGATCTTCGTTAGTTATATTGGTGGCCGTGTATGAAGAATGAAATATCCGAGTTTGTATCTAGATGCATGGTGTGTCAACAAGTGAAGGCGAAACATCAGGTTTCATCAGGGTTACTCCAGCCCATCTAGATTTTGCAATGGAAGTGATATAGGGTAACCATGTACTTTGTGACTAGGTTATCTATGATTCGAAGGAAGCATGATGTCATTTGGGTAGTGTTCAACCGATTGACCAACTATGCTCACTTCCTACCAGTTCATACGAACTTTACCCTTGAGAGATTAACTAGGTTTTACATCTAGGATATAGTGAGACTACATGGGGTACCGATGTCGAACATCTCTAACCGACATCTACATTTCATATCTAGGTTTTGAAAGGCACCACATGAGTCCTTAGGTACTCGGTTGTATCTTAGTACTACTTTCTACCCGTAGACAGATGGTCAATTAAAGCATATGATTCAAATTTTAGATGATATGCTTCGATGTTGTGTAATAGATCTCAAGGCCAGTTGGGAGGATCATCTTTCATTGGTTGAGTTCGTCTACAACGATAGCTATAACTCGAGCATTCAAATGGCTCATTATGAGGCTTTACATGGTAGGAAATGTAGGACGCCTTTGTGTTGAACATAACTCAGTGATAGAAAGCTAGTTGGTCATGATTTGATACACGAGGTAAAAGAGAAGGTTCGACTAATTCAAGAGCGGCTAAGAGAGGATTTCGACTGACAAAAATTGTATGTGAATTTGAAGCGAAATGACATAGAATTTGAAGTTGGTGATAAGGTTTTCCTTAAGGTTTCACCTTGGAAAAGAGTGATTTGGTTTGGCCGAAAAGGGAAATTGGCTCCGTATTTTATTGGACCCTATAAGATTCCTGAGAGGTTCAGACTTGTAGCTTACCATTTGGATTTACCATCGGAGATAAAACTCATCCATAATGTTTTCCATACGTCGATGTTTAGGAGGTATCGTTTGGATCCGCCTCATGTTATTCTTTTGTATCAAATTGAATTAAGCTAGGATATGACCTACGGAGAGGAACCAATAAGGATCTTAGATTGAGAGGTCAAGGAATTGAGGAACAAACAGATCTCCTTGGTAAAGGTTTTGTGGAGGAATCATGGTGTCGAATAGGCGACGTAGGAGACCAAAGAGGACATGCAACTCTAGTTTCTGCATCTTTTCTACATAGGTAAATTTCGAATACAAAATTTCTTTTAAGGGGGGAGAGTTGTAATGCCCTAATTCTCGGGTTAGTAGTTTTTTGTGAAACCCGAATGGGTTTAAATGAGCTAAGGAAATTATTTAAGAGTTTTAGGTCAATGCATAATTATTTTGGTTTGGGCTTGAGTCTAACAAGACTTAAAAAGAGGGTTTGAGTTGAGCACCAAATAATAAGGACTAAGAGTGTAATTTTCCCTAGCTTGTTCAAAAGGTTGAATTCTTTTAATTGTATGGTGAGGTCAAGACAGAAATAAAACACCAATTTGGAAGATCTCTTGCACCTATTTTTTCTTCACCATTTCCTTGTCTCCTTATACCTTTATTCTTATTCTTCTTCTATTTTTTGCTAGCTAGAAACTTAAAAGTGGAAACTTTGTTGGTTTACACTCCTAGTCCTAAATTGAGAATGTAGGTTTTAGAATCATCTCATCTAGAGGTGCAAAATGAACTCTCAACTTTAATGTTTGGTCATGGTGGGCATGAAAGAGGTTTAGTGGGGTTTTTAGATTCTAGAGCTTTTGGGTATTCTAAATCTATCCCAAGGAGTCTGGAATCACATTTTTACTTCCATTAGACCTTCAAGTAAGTTAGTAATAATTTTATTTAGTTTTGATCTAGAGAGAGGTGAGTGAAAGCTCAAAGGTAAAGAGCAAGGAGAAGTGAACCTTGGTTGAGCTTGAGGTCATTTTATAACTCTTAGGTGAAAGATAGCACATTTATAACCTTTCTATACTACTTTTAGTTCAAAATATAATCTTTGATGCATGTTGTGTGTGTTTGAGCCTTTGCGTGCACTTGGGTGGGGATTTAAGCATGGAATTGGGATTGTTTGTTAATTATGCTCAAAGTGATAACCTTTCATGTTCCTCACATGCTAAATAAAAGTTAAACACTAAAAGTGATAACCTTTCATGTTTGTTAATTAGTGGACATGTACTATCATAGACCCTTAATTGTATTTGAGTCATGACCTATGTATTTTGATTTATTACTAAATTTTGGAGACCTAAGTTGGGAGCTTCCTGTATTTTCAATACTAATATTTTGTAAGCTTATGGTATTTGGATATTTGGTTGTTTAATGGTTAAACTTTTTTTTAAAAAAATGGTTAGCCACTTACATGGTCTCATGTGACATCGTAATCTAACAATTTTTCGGGTCGGAGCGGATTAGGGTGTTACAATATGTCAATTTAAAAATGTATTTGTTATCTTTTTTAACTTTAAATATTAAAGATAATTATACAATTTTATATATTTCAAATTAAAATAATCTTTATTTAAGTTTGAATGGTAAAAGAAGTTTATCTTTTAAATATTTCAAATTAAAATATATTATTATCTGTTTAAAGTTGAATATTAAAATATATTTAGTTGGATTAAATCTCTCTTGAAAATCCCCTATAAATAGTGAGTTAACCGGCTAGGTTAAACACACGTTTCACAAGTTTTCATATTTGAGATTTCAAGAACTTCTCTTATCTTGAAAAAGTTCTCTTCCACTAGTTTCCAATCACAAGATTAAAATAAAAAGAATATTTTTTCTTTTTATTTAGTTTTGATTTATTTTAAAGAAGTTTAACTTCTTTGTTTGATTTTCTGAGGTTTGATTTCGTCTCTGATTTTTGTTTCGAATAACAATTTCAGTACAAAGTAAACTCGTTATATCACTTTGATTTTATAATGATATTTTATTATTATTTTCCTATATTATTTTCAAATTAACGTAATATTTTTAACATTTTCTTTTTATACTTTTTACCTTCCTCATAGAAAAATATCAACCAATATATATTTTTTATCAACCACGATTTTCTACATAAAACAAAAAGAATAAATCACTAATAATCGACGAGATAAACTTATTCTTATCGACAAAAATTTATAAAATGTGACCAAACTCAATAGTGTTGAACCTCTATGCAATAGATTTAAGGTTCCATCCCCTCTCCGACTAAAAAAAGAAAATTTAGATGTTATGTCAGTAGGGTATTAAAAGTTGGTAGCAATATTTTTTTTTATGGATTTTAACACTAAAATAAGGAAATACACATGATGGAGTTTTCAAAGGTCATAGAGTAAATATATATATAACAAAAACCAAAGGAAGTAAAACAATTGAATATGTTGATGGTTGTATCATTAATTATTATTTTGGTAACAATATAATTCATAATTCCTTCTACCAGTTCAATTATTTAAAAGGAGCAGTCAACTTTAGATGGCTTTACATTATGAGCAGCGGAAAATACCAGAACTAAACAAAAGAACAAAATAAAGAAGGGCGATTATGTAGTTTCACCCCGCAGGGCAGAGCCAGGCTAATGAGTCCAAGAAACTGAGTGAGGAGCCTTAGCCTTAGCAGCAGGTATTGTTTTGAGGTAAAAGAAAGAGCATCGATCGATTATGGGAGGGAATGGAAAGCAGAGATGGAAATTCTTCTCCTACAATCACTCATCTCCAAAGCATCCCGAAACCCAACCTCCGCAGGAGTTCCTTTGCCCAATTTCTGGGTCTTTGATGTTCGACCCCGTTGTGATTCCCTCTGGTCAATCATTCGATCGAATCTCCACCCAAGTCTGCCGCGACCTCGCCTTCACCCACACTCTTCACGACGGCTCTACCCCCGACTTCTCCACCGTAATCCCTAACCTCGCCATCAAAAGCACCATCCTCACCTGGTGCCGCAACCACCGTTCCCAGGTTCCGTCCCCGCCCGATTACGCCTCCGTCGAGAAAATCGTTCGCTCCTTGATTCAGCAGCAGTGTCCTTCGAGGGTTTCTTCGGCTCCCGATATTCGAATCTCCGAACGGGAACTTTTGGAAGCCGTAGCTGAAAATCCTCCGGTTTTATTCTCCCACGCCGTTACGGAAATAGGTCCATGTGTTATCAGTAACTTGTTGTGTTCATCCTCCACCTTCAGCTCATCCTCTTCCGATGAATCTGTTATTGTTATCGCCGGTAGTCCTCACACGCCGTTGCCACTCGCCACCCGCCCCGCGTGTTTCTCGATTTCCGGTTCTTCATCCTCTTCCGCTGAAATCGGCGAATCTGATTCGCTGAACTCTAAATCCCAATCTTCGTCGTTGGAAGAACAAGAGCTCTTTTTGAAGCTTAGAAGTTCTGATATTTTCGAGCAAGAAACAGGTTTGGTTTCTTTAAGGAGAATCACGAGGACTAGAGAAGAGGCTAGGATTTCTCTTTGTTCCTCTAGGCTACTATCGGCTCTCCGACCTTTAATCACTTCCAGATACAGCGTTGTTCAAATCAACGCCATCGCTTCACTCGTTAATCTTTCCTTGGAGAAGTCAAACAAGGTCGTTATCGTACGGTCAGGCTTTATTCCTCTTTTGATTGATGCTTTGAAGGCGGGATCCAGTGAGGCGCAGGAACACGCTGCCGGCGCTCTCTTCAGTTTAGCTTTAGAAGATGAAAATAAAATGGCGATTGGGGTATTAGGCTCGTTGCAACCGTTGCTTCATGCTCTAAGATCGAACTCCGAGCGCACTCAGCATGATTCGGCCCTCGCACTTTATCATCTTTCTTTTATTCAATCAAACCGCGTTAAACTGGTAAAGCTCGGTGCTGTTACGACCCTGTTATCAATGGTGAAACTGGGGGATTCTGCGAATCGAGTGTTACTGGTATTGTGTAATTTAGCTGCTTGCACGGAAGGGAAATCAGCAATGCTGGACGCCAATGCGGTAGCGATACTGGTAGGAATGTTGAGGGAAAGCGAGCTGGTTTCCAAGGCAACTCGGGAGAACTGTGTTGCCGCTTTGTTTGCACTGAGTCACGGCAGCTTGAGGTTCAAGGGACTGGCAAAAGAAGCACGAGCTGTGGAGGTTTTAAGGGAAGTGGAAGAGAGTGGGAGCGAAATGGCGAAAGAGAAAGCGAGAAGGATTTTGCAGATGATGAGAGAAAGAAAGGAGGATGAAAATGAAGAGATTGATTGGGAAGCAGCTTTGGAGTCGGGTGGATTCAGTCGGAGTCGGTACCGAGTTGGTAAAGATGATTTATGTGCAAATTCTACTGATTTCTAGTATAGCTTTTATCCTTTTGTTTGTGTTGATAATTTGTGATTATAGTGTGTATAGGTAAATTTCCTGAGTGGGTTTTAGGCTTTTAGACCTTTTGTTTTTTGTATTTAAAAGAAAATTGGATCATGTTATCTTATCCATTAGTGAAATGGGAAATCCTTTTGCAATTGAAAGCTTGGAATGGCTATGGTTTTTTTTCTTTATTTTCATCTTTTTCTCTTTAAATCATAGATTACATACAATAGGACACTTGTTCAAAGTTTTAGATCTTAGGCAATAAACTAGCAATGAAGGAATTCATGATCCTTCATTTCGGGGCATCTTCTTTCAAGGAAGCTGTGAAGATGGGCGTAGAAGTATATCATCACTTGAAGGCTGTTATACAGAAGCAGCAGGTACAAGATGCTACAAATGTTGGTGATGAAGGTGGTTTTGCTCCTAAGATTCAAGGAAATAGAGAGGGACTTGAGCTCTTGAAACTCAAAATCGGGGTACACTGGAAAGGTTGTTATTGGAATGTATGTTGCTGCTTCAGAGTTTTATGATAACCAGGATAAAGCCTATGACTTGAACTTCAAGGAAGAGAACAATGACGGATCACAAAGAATTTCAGGGTGACAGTTTGAAGAAGAATGTTTACAAGTCGTTTGTGACTGATCATCCAATTGTCTCCATTGCGGATCTGTTTGATCTGTGCAGAGTTGACTAGTGAAATTGGTGAACAAGTGCAGGTTTTAGGTGATGAACAAATAGTAAGCGTGTGGAGAAAGCAATTAAGGAGAAGAAATGCAATGGTCTTCCGTTGAATGTAAAACAAAGTGGTTCCCTAACTGAAAGTATCGAAGATGTAAAAATGTCTAAATCTGGTGGTTGGGGTGTCATGGCAAGCCACTGAGGATGATTTGACCTTTCAGTTGGGTTAGCAACAGGCAAATCAGGACTGGAGCTCCTCTCAGATCAGAATGTCTTGCCAAGCACATCCAGCTTCAGAGGACCGAAGAACTTGGACCTGCTGCAATTTATGCAGGAGCAAAGTTCAGTGCTCCTTTAGAAGCTTATTAGGTTCATTGATGGTTTCTTGTGTTGCAATCATAGTGTGTTTCTGCACTTTGCATGTAGTAGGGGGGAAGTCATTCCGGTCTTAAACTACAAGTGCACAGTGAAGGTGTGGTTTGGACCTAGGAAACCTTATTTTTAAAGTTGCATTGTGATGCTTTGACCTTGTGTTTGAAGTAGGAAAGGAGGCGATGACAACTGAACACATGTTGTTTGAATGCTATTTGGAGAGCCGATTTTTCTCCTCCAGAAAATGGTGTTCATGATATCGAAAGCTTCATCCCCCAACTTTGGATCCTCCTTAGCCTCATCGGTTGTGTAAGCATGATAAGCATATCTTTAGCATTAGTGCTTTGACGCTTTCCTTTTTCTTTTCTGATCACTTTTCAGCAAGTTGTTTTTCATGCTTTTCTTTTCCACCTCAACACTAATCTTCTACCCAAGTTTTTTTTTTGGGGATAAATTCTTCTTCCCAAGTTTGATAGAAAAGAATGTTTAATTTTTTTAGTCTCAAGAGAAAGACTATGGAATTCTAAAATCTTAAAGGACTCCAGCTTTGCATGAAAAAAAAATTAAGGGGTGTATGTTACATGGATCAAAATAGGATAATAGTAAGTGTCAAAATGGATTTTTTATTAGATTCAATAAAAAAATCTTAGATGGATCCAAAAACAAATTAAATATACAGAAGTTGAAAATTAACCATTGATATTCTTCAACAATTTTCCTGGTTAAAATCATATGCGAAAGCGATAAAATAAATGACAACCTATTTTTTTTACTATAGTTTTTAATTGATATAAAACTTGCATGTGCGAACAACTTTTAATAAATCACAAACATTATTATTCTCAATTTTAAAATTTCACCAGTCTGGATATCGTCAGTTGGGTTGGTTCATGGTGTTAGAATATACTTAAAGACCAATCATATGATGATTGTAATAAGATATATTAAATACCGATTGTAATAAGATATATTGTTTATAGTATTTATTAAATGAAGACATTGCCATCATTGTTTTAGTTATATTTCAGTATCATAAATAAACTAAGAAAAATGAAGTCCATATAATAATATATTGTTATTAAAAATCCTTAGTCGAGTATTATTAATAGTATGAACAATAATAAAACATTTAAGGCTAACATATAGCTGATTGATGACGAGGAATAGTCATTGACACAGAGATGTCAAAATCAATGCATGAATAAGTTGATAGAGAATAACATATTAGATTAACCTGTTATGAGTATATGTCTTAGAATAGTATGTGACGATCACAACATTGCTCATGATGACTACTATATGTATAATCCTCGGACTTGAGATCATCACTTTCTCAACATGCATAGTGGTATGTTTCCATACGGTTAAAAGTGTTCCATAATTGGTTGCACTATAAAGATTGGGGTTGGACATACCACAATATATGTAGAGAAATGCGAGTGATCAAGAAAGAATGTCCTTCCTACATAATATGATATATATCACGAGTCACTTGTTTGAGTGAGACTAGAAATGTATGGCCACGCTCGAACAAGTTGATATGTGATATCATAAATTGTCCGTTTATTATAGTCTACTCAAGATACGAATAAACATTAAATGGGCAAGACAAGTGTGACTATTCTAGGACTTGTGTCCAATCTAGATATAAATGACAAAAAGATACAATACATAAAAGAGTTAGTCACAAACATGTTATGTAGAATAATGATTTCTTGTAACTTAGGTAACAATGATATATTGCTAGATGCCACTCATTGTTTATAATATTATAATAGTTCTAATAATTACTTTTCATGTTGTAAATACTCGTTTTTGTCTGGGACGTTTCAAGTTTTAGTATTTATAAAGTATATTTACATATAAGTATAATATAAATAAAATAATATATATAGGTTTTGAAAAATAGTATATTATATAGTTTTGAAAATAATACAGTATATATATATAGTTTTGAAAAAAAATGGTTTTGAAAAATATATAGTATATAGTTTTAAGAATAGTATATATTATATATAGATTTTAAGTAATATTTTTAAAATAAATATTTTTATAGTTTAAAAACATATATGGATTTCAAGAAAATATTATAATATTTATTATACATAATATATATATATATACTTTTTAAATTTAATTTAATTTAATTTAATTTAATTTTTGTTATTATTATCATTAATCCTTTTTATTTCAGGTTAGATTCGTGAAGTCCAAAGAGCCATGGTTCAAGTTGAATAGTCCAGTGGATGAGTCCAGATGCTAATCATCAAAAGAGTCCGAATTGGAGCCCATTGGAAGCAGCCCAAGCGTGTTGTCAAGCAGTTAGGGATTTGAGTTTTCATCCAGGCACCTGCTATCAGGAGCCGATGGATCTGAACCAATTCAATGAACCTGATTATGAGGAACAAGTTAGGTGTTTATAACCCCTGAAGTAAAGTGCACAACCAAGGGATAACCGTTAGATCTGACCCAATCAAACGATCCAAGATGACATTTAAAGACCCCAAAATTGGCAATGAGAACTAACAACCAAGATTACTAGCCAATTTTATACTCAGATTAATCCAATGGTCCATGGATGGCGCGTGGAGTGCACGAGAGACCTCTCATCTCCCTCACGCACCAGCAATCAATATTTCAGGAAATAACGCGCTCGAGAATTTGTCCCTTTCCCCCATCCGTGCAAACCATTGCACCAAGTTGTCCTGGCAGAGGTGAACGACAGGAAAATGTTGCATCACAAAAGGCCAAGCAGATAAAAGGATTTACTAGAACCCTTCGATTAACCCACAAGAATCAAATCCACGGTGAAGGGTTCCTTAACCCCTGAAGATCACATGCAAACGAAAAACAGAAAAAAATCAGGGGTAATATATATATCATCGGCAACCGAAAGCAACAAAAAAGAAGAGGAATGAGAGTAACCCAAAATTAGCTATCCGAAAACCAAAAGAACTCTCTCTGTTTATGAGTGAGCAACCAACCAAAAGAAAAGGGCAAAACAGAAAAGGGTTTCACTTTTTCCATCCGAAAAGCTTCGTCACCATCTCCCAGTGTTCAGACGTCGATGAGCCGTCGAGGGTAAGCCCTCGAGTCTTCTAGCGTCTCGTTGTATGGTCTCGAGTAGTTTTCAGGGGTCATTTTTGTAGGGATCTAAGCCTTAGGGTGTCAGGTTTTAAAGAAAAGAAGGTCGTTGGGGGCTTTGTTTCAGAGAGATTTATAGGGTTTCGAGTTTTAGGCTTTATTTTAGGGTGTCTCAATTCCTCGTCGGAGCTGGAAAATGGCAAAAAGGGGGTGCCTTGCGATTTTCTTTCGACTAGTTTCGAAAAGGAAAGCTTTGGTTTCGGTTTTTCAGAGGAATATTTTTTATTAGGGGGTCATTCAGGGTGAGCTTTGGGCCTCATACGTTCCTCGTCAGAGCTCTAGGCGGCGGCGGCCACGGAGGCTGCCTCGGTCGGATAAGAAAATAAAAAAGGGAAAGGAAGAATAAGGGGTTAGAGAGAGAGAAGTGAGAAACAACTGATATGTCAAATGAGGCTAGGTTAAAAAATTTTATCCGAAATAACCTATATATATTGTTGCCAAAACAGTAACATTTAGGGGTTAGGGCAATCTGAGGCTGGTGAGTGGGGTAATAACGCTTTAGGTCCCTGTTACCTTTGTAATCTTCCGCTTCAATCATCTATCAAAAGTTTGCATCTTTGTGATTTGGGTCGTTGATTTATTTTTATTTATGTTTTAGTCACCGTTCATTTTAATTACTAGCTTACTGTTTGATGTTTGTGCACATGCAATTCTTGGTATATTTGCATGTTGGTCCTTATTAGCTCTGTTTAATTGTGATTTGATACTTGTTTTAGATGGTTAAAATATAATGTAGTTCTTATACTTTTCTTATTAGATCATTTTAGTCTTATATTTTACACACACACGCACACACACATATATATAAGGGTTGTTAATCTTAATCATAAAAAACTTATCTATTACGCTAGAATTTTAGGGAAAATCACGTAGAGACCCTCCCTATTTTTACTTATTCTTACACGCTGGTCACTAGTCTTTGTGTTATTCTCCATTTAGTCCTTTTAATTTATGTATTTTTCTATTTTGGTC